AGCCCCGGAGTCGAAGAAGGGGCTGGAGTTAAGGCAGCCGCAGGAGCAACGTGCTTTGGATCAAGGGGCTGAGCAGGAGAGGATCCAGGTGGTGTTTTGTAAGATGGCTGCGCCGTTAAATCCCCAAGCCTTGTACACAACCTAATTTTAAGGCTGATCTACTTCCCCCACCATGCAGCTTTGGCCTCTGGATATCAGATGTAACGGAAAATCGGCTGCTGCATTAGCAATCGTTACAGCACTCGGAGGCCCAGCTTCCCTCGCTCCCAGTTCAGGCAGTGGTATCCTGCTGGGAGAGGGGAAAACGAGGCCAGCTCTTCACATCCCACTCTGCTCTCCGCTCCTCCGAAGCTCCCGGCAGCCCTGGCCCCAGCACACGCGTCCCCTCCCCAAGAGCTTGCAAGGAAAATGGGGGGGCTCTGCACTGGCAGGGGAAAGGACCCCAGCCTCCAAGAAAACAGAGATGCCAGAGACTTAGGACTATGGAAAGGGAACAGCTCAATGGGATCAACCTGCAAGAGGGGGCCTATCTTCTAAAAAAGCATCCTCCTCCCCAGAGCGCTCGGCTCCCCCCTGCCCGGGGCCACGCAGGGCTCTGCTGCCCGGGCAGAGGCTTAGGGATCGGCAAAGGTCAAGAGCAGGCAGAGCCCCTTCTCCTCCCAAAAATAACAAAGACCCTTGGCAGGTCCCCGGCTTCGAGACCCGGCATTAAAGCCTGCAAAAGCTTCCCGCACTGCAGCAATTGGGTCCTCCTGCCCCCAAAACCCCCCTTCCCAACAGCAGGTCTGAAAACAGGGCTGTGAGTTTTGCCCTGGTGCAGAGCAAAGGGCAAGTTTATAAAGTAAAAGGTGTGGGAGGTTCAGGGTCCAGCTCCTGTGTGCAGCCAGCTCAGCAGGGCAGGGGGGAATACCAACCCCGCTCCCGGCTGATGGCTGGAAGAAGGAAAGAGCCTTGCCAATAAGAGATGTGGTACTTGGAGACATCCACAGAAATAAGTTTATTTCCCCTACCGTCAGGATTATGAAACCACAGAAGCAGAGTTTAAATATTTACAAAGTAATCCAGCGCCCCACAGAGATCAAGAGAACAAAGTATGAGGGTACGGAGGGCTTTGCCCTCGCCGAAGAGCAATGGCAACGCCATGGAGCTCTGCAGCACAAACACATGCAAAGGGGAAAGGAGAGGAGCACAAAACTGGCATCTGGAAGGTGAAGGACAGGGTGAACCTTTAATGTGGCTAGTCAAAGGGGACACTGCAAAGAAGCTGGTAGTGAGATGAAGGAAGCTGCAAGAAGAGGACATTCCTTACCCACCCCCGCTTCTGCCACCTCCCACACCAAGAGGAAGCAGCCCACTCCCCACACAACCGCAGCTGCTGGCTGCAGCGCTGCTGGGAAGCCGTGCCGAGCACCACCGGGGTTTCCCCGCGTTCCCGCAGCGCTGGGCTGACACTACCGCAGCGTAGGAAAACAGCAAATCTCACCAGCCCACCCGCCTCTCCCAGCATCTGACCTCTGTGGGCACCATCCTTCATTGTGCGAGTTCAGACAGCGTGTCCAGCAGGGATGTGCGGGCTGGCTCTGCGGTACCTCAGCTTTGGGCCGTGCTCTCCCATTAGCCATGTTTCCTTCGGATGCCCGGAGCCATCCTCCATCTCTGTCGGTGGAAGCGGGTCGGCTGTTCAACCAGGACTTGGGCGAAGCGCCGCCTTCCTTCCCCGGCAGCCAGCACTCCAACCAACCGTGAGGCTCGTTTGCTGCTGCTCGATAAGTCTTCATTCGAAACCCAGATCTGGTAAAAAGCGTTAGGAGCGCACAACGAGGATTTTCATGGTGGGGAATGGCACTCAACACATTTTCAGAAGTCCCAGGAGCAGGGACTGTGGCCAGCAGCTCCGCTCCCGGCCTCCCCCGACAACTTGAAGTCTCAGCTTTGGCAATGCTTGTATAGCTTATCGATAAAACACTGAATCAACGTGTGAGACAGGCCTAAGAGTCTCTAGGTTATTGCTACTGTATAAGACAGGTTGGCTTCAGCCCTGGGGCCAGGGACTCTGAGCCCATCCTTGGCAGGTCACTCTGAGAAATCATACTTAAATTAAAAAACAGAGGCAAAGCACTAATCTCTCCTGTTCAACTGGCTTGTCCTAGGGCACGTTAGCCAGCAGGCTCGCTGGGTGGAGACCGCAGGGACACAGGGTAGCTCGGTAAGACACCATCCTTTTATTGTAAGGTTCTCTTTGATCAAGATCTTGGCTTTCTAATCAGCCCCAGGCCCAGCAGCCTCCAGCCCGCTCTCCACACAGGCTTGAAATGACTGTACAGAGCAGACACCGACACCTATTTCAGTTCCAGGTAGACAGGGAAGGGCGCTGAGGTCTGCACACCTCCTCCACCCACCCCAGAAAAGCCAGCACCAGATGACAGAGAGACAACTGGATGTCAGGGAGAAGGGAGAGGCTTAAGGGGCTATTTAAAAGTGACTGAGGAACAGGAGGAAATGCAGAAATCGAGAAGCCCAAGAGGAGTCCCCAACCCTCCCATATGGCTAGAGGAGTCAGGAAGATGGAAGCGGACGGAAAGGCACACGAGGACAGGTCTGAGAGCCAGCAGGGTGATGGTGAATGGGCTTCCTAGTCAGAGGAAGCCACAGGGACAGCAGGCAGTGGAGAAGAGCTTTCTTGCCAGCCATGAGCACTCCCTGAGGTTGAAATCCATCAGGTAGTGGAGTAAAGAGGTGGCCTTTCAAGGCATGAGTGGAAAAGCTATTCTCCTTCCTCTGCAGTCAGAGGGGATGTGCTCAACTGCACATAACCCTTCAGCCACACTTTTTTTTAAAAAGCCACTTGGCTCAGAGCCCCAAAGAAAGCAGCATCTGCAGGCCAGAGCCTCAGCAAACACAGACCTGGACCTCTCGTCCTGGAAGAGGCTCTGGGTCATGTCCAAATTCACTTCCTGCCCAGCACTCACAAACAACCTACCCCCCTACTACCCACCCTGCCCAATCCAGGGCTCAAAAGGGCCACCAGCCCCCAATGCTGCCAGACCAGCATTTCTCACATCAAAGTCAGTCCTGCTTTTACTCCAGGTGTGCTCTTCAAAGCACGCCAAGGAAGCAAACAGTTCTTGTTTACCATCCTGGAACCAGCCGCAGGAAAGCCAGTGCCCCAGTTTGCTGCTGCAAAGCCCAACCAGAACATGGATGCTTGCCAGTCCCTTCACCTTTTCTTTTAATCTCTGATGGCCCCACTAAGCTCAGGTCTCAGGTGCTGCTCTCATGGATGCTTGCAAAACCCTACGCTAAGCCTTCTGTCCCAGAAACATGTACCTGCTGCTGCTGCCACTTCTGCAGGCTCAGGCATGCTGCGACACACAAAGTACTAGGGATCTAAGGAAATTAAGTGGCTCATGAGAAGCGTAACGACAATTTTAGATATTCAGAGCACAAGGAGAAGCAGGGAAGCTGTATTTTCTCTGGCACAAGCTAAAAGGGACTTACAGTAGACTCCCAACTCTGCAACAGGCTATTGAAAGTGTGCAGACTGCCACGAGCCATACCCAAGCCAGTCGATTGACTTTCCTGCCTTTCTGGGCTCACCAGCAGGACCAGACGTATTTGCCCTGCCACCGAGCGTTCCTCTGCGCGTCTCCTCAGAGGGGTGTCCTGCCGTCAACACCTTTCTGTCACTACTGGGGAGACCGCCAGTGAGTGCTGCGGCACTCTACATCCCCAGGAGGAACCCCACACCTCCGCGTTGAAACATGTGCTACGGGAGAGTCGTGCAACAGGGAAACAACAACTCCTTCTTGGAGAGTCAGGAAATCTGAGGAAGCATCTGACAAAGTCTGCCAAGAGGAAAAAACCAGGTGATCAGAGAGAACCTTACAAGGTGTATCTGCTTGTGCTCCTGAGCCAGGAGGCAAGGTTTGCCTTGCGGCTTTTTACTTGGCACTGAAAGCAAAGGTGCCCACGCCTCTCCTTTCCTGATTGCGTTTCTACCTACCAAATTGCAGAAAGGGACCACATTCAGGGAGAGAGCGGGAGGCTCCAGGACCCTTGACATTGGGAGACACCATCAACAGAACAAAAACAGAAGGAAAAGAAGCCAGTTCCAGGAAACAAAGATGAGCTGTTACAATGGAGTGGAGTTGCCACCTTCCCCAGAAAACGCCTCCCAGAGTCCCATGTCTCCATCTTGCTGGTTCAGTCACAGTTTCTTCCTTCGTGTGCCCACGGAATGGGGAGTTCACAGCTGCCATCACCGCAAATGAAGCGTCAGAACAATGGTCACAATCACCCCCAAGAAGAGGACAAAGGGAAGCCAGGTCTTCACAAATCCCCCTATGCTGCAAGATGGAAAAAAAGGGGAGGATTTAAACATAAGAAATCAGCAGAGACAGACAAGAGGGAGAGAAGGATGTGAGAATAACTGGAGAAACCAGAGGGAGACAGACGCCCTTCTGACTTTGGTGGTACTGCCATAAAACACATATTGGAGATTCAGCCCGTGTTAAAAATTGAGACTAAATCAGGTCTACAAATAACTATACCATGAACAACAGGGCTGGACTCTCCTTCCAGCTTAAATTCAGGTTGAAGACTAGCATGTTTCATGTCTGCACAGACAAGAGTGGTGACAGAAGAGCGCAAAAAATGAAAGCCCATTACCGCAGGCCTCGTTATTCTGACTGCTGGTGTATTTAACCAAGACAGCAGGGACTACACTTGCCTAAAAGCTGGTAGAGAGAAGCTTTTCCAGAACAGGGAAGATCCAACGGAACTGGAGCAACTCAAAAGCTTTATGCAGGGCAGTCCTCGCAGAATCTCCTCTTCAGGCACAAGTAGCTGAAATGGAGATTAAGTGCCCTTTCTAGTAAGGAAAGCTCAGGATTTCCCTCTCTGCTCAAGTTGGAAGCTCCACACCAGTTGGAAATCTGACTAGTTTTCATGTAAACAAGATTCAAGAGAGGGAAGAGAAACCAGTAATCCTTTGAGACGAGCCATTCTGTGACCTTGTGTTCTGACCTAACCCAGCCAAAAGACAACACAGAGTTAGATTTGCTTTAGCTAGCATTTCCCAAATTCCAGGCACCCTAAATTAGCTGCAAGATATAGTATTTCAGGAGCAGCATCTAGTGCAACCCAGCAAGCACTCTTGGTTCTTTTCCCAAGACAAGGCAGCAGGCAGTGACAGTACCACCTACCAGCAACATACACCCACATGTTGTGGGGGAGAGATGTCTCTCCCTTCTCCACGGGACAGTCTGAAGCTTTGGAGGGCTAGGAAGAACGAAGGAAACAGAGCCCCTTTGCCTGCTGAATCTAGACTTCTCCTCAGCTCACCTTACATACTTCCCATACAGGAGTGAGAAGAAGCAGAGTTTCACCATGTTCCAGGAGGTGCTGTTATCGTATTTCATCAAGTTTAAGGCCAGAGCCACGTGAGAATGGCAGTTATCACAGCAAAGGTTGTGCTGGAACAGAAAAAGGGGCATGGGATTAGAAATCCTGTCCTTGAGGCTCCCCAGTTCTGCACCCTGTGCTGGTGCAGACCCACAGGTCCCACTCCTGCAGCAAGCACGCAAACACTGGGGAGATATTCCTCCACACACAGACAGGACACCAGCATCAGAGCCGTACCATTCGGTGCTTGTACTCCTCCGACGCATCGTGTACAGCTGTGTCCCAAGCATTGGGACCAGTGGAGTATATTTTGCTGGGATCCAGTTTCCAGTACCTAGAAGGATGAGAACAGATCCCTTCGCATTATTGCTGCACCTTTACAACTTCTTGCTCTTCCCAGCAGGAAGATGCTTAAAGGACTTAGAGAAATCCACTACCTCTGGAGTCCATGGAGCTGAGTTCTTCAAGGCAAGCGTATGCTGCACAGGGCAGCAGAAACTAATGCTCAGCACCCTCAGCCCGACAGCACCCCAGAGAGAGAAACTGCAGACCTCAGGGGCACAGACAGAACTCTGAACTGCTGTCACGTCCCGTGATGTGAAACCTTCAGGCCATTCAAAATGTAAACCTGATCTGACAGATACACAAAACCCAGGCACCTCTCCTCCTCCCCCCTGAAAATCATTAACAGGATGCAAGTGATGACAGTTCATTAGTGCAGCACAGGCAGTATTTACTTGGAGCACTTGTTGTTAACATTATCTTAAAATGTTTTAGCCTTTTTTTTTTTTTTTTTAAATAAAGGCTCTGTACAGCTCTCATTATTAATACCATTACACTGCTGTCACACTTCCAAAAAGATTTAATTTAATGTGGTTTCTTGAAAAGCAGAGACACAGTAGCCATCCAGTTGAATTAAGGCATCTGAACAACAAGAAAAGCAATATTATAGCATGTCTGTCTCCATGAATTAAAGTACATCTGCAGGTCAGTTGGTTAGCTTAATAAAAACTAACAAGAGCACTTACTTCACTGGCTTCCCAAATGCCATGTTGTCTTCCTACAAAAAAAGGAAAAATGTCTCAAGAGGATAACCCCGCGCAATGTTCATGGCATGCCTCTTGCTGGGAGGCCTCACAGCCCGCGATCGCTTAGTGATAAAACTGTCACATTGCCTCAGCAGTCTCAAGACACCGATCTTATTTGTGCGTCTGGATTTAGATTTCAATTGTTTTCACACTCCTGTTCTGGGCATCGGTATATTTATACTCTATACACGGTGACATCATCTAGCTATATGGTATATGTACCTTGTTCCCCCCTCTTTGTTTTTTTTAACTGTTAAGATCTTGTTAACTCAAAGTTGTAAGTGTTCCAATCTATTAAGAGTACTAATCATCCCAACTTAAAACTCCCTTACTTTCAAAATCCACCAGGCTATAAAGCAGTTTAGAAGACTGCCACATACCTGATGCTAAGCAGCATGACAGTAACAGGCATGCCGAGGAAATTGGAAGGCAGCTTCTGTTACTCAGAATTAAGAGGATTTAGGTCCAAAATTCCCAATCAAGAGCCTGGACTACAAGGTTTTTTCCCTTCTGCTCACCAAACCAATCTAGCCACTATCTATCACATCCCCCAAGCGAACTCCACTGGACAGCAGCCCACAGAGTAATAGCAAAGATCCACGATCTTCAGAAACATGTAAGCCATTACTTTGCAAAACTTTGAACTGCAAAAGACAGGGGATGACTCAAAAGTCACCAACGAAGGCGAGAAGCAGACCAAGCACAGATTCTGCTTAAGCACCCGGGTCCATCGTCTACTTACTGAGACAAAGTATGGCCCCGCGAAGTCCCGAATGACTCCAGTCGACGTGCAGATACCCATGTGGCCAATGATCGGGAAGAGCCATCTACCGAGGCAACAAGCGAACCGTCAGGCTGAGATATTTGCCCCCCGATCACACCGAGTGCGTGCAACATGCTGCCAGGAGACTGCTGGAGCGGCCGTACAACCAACTGCATAGCATGGGATAGACAGGCACAGTTAAGGCGTTATACGCAGCTGAGAGATGAAAGCAGGTGAGCCAAAGCCAGGCAAAGACCGGTAAAGACGTAGAAGAGGTACAAGCGAAAGAAAAATACGCAGGGAATACCCAAAGCTGTGCTCTCCTGACAAGCAGGTCTAGAGTCAGCTCATCCGTGGGGCAATCAGGCTCGGGGATTTTGCCGTGAGTGGCTGCAGTTACGGAGAGCGCAAGACTCCAAAGGCCTGCACTACACACGTCCCTGGCCAGGGAAGGGCAAGCCCCGGTCTCCCCGAACAAACCCATTTGTGTATCCAAGTAAAAAGGTTAGATCCAGGAGAAACTGCCTTGAGATATAACCAGACTTTCCACTTCAACAACTGAAAATAAGGTCACCCTGCCTATCTTCCCAACCACACTGCAGCTTTTCATGGCAAACTAAATTTAAGCACCCCAGACAGAAAACGGGGCTCCTGCCTCCAGGAAGAGCATTCCTTCCCCTAAATGATCCCATTGTTTCAAAGTCCTTCTCCTCCCTGCTAGATATTTACAGCCCCAGGGAGCAGCAGATCTATATCCCAACCCCCTCCCATCATCATCACTTAGATGTAAATACTTCAGGCCAAGTTACAGCTCTCTCCCACATCCTCCGGCATTCTCAGGTTTGCTGACCTCTCTCCGATTTCTCACTTCTCTCTCCCTGAGGGACTGCACGCAGCAACTAACATTTCAGAAGAGATTACAGCAACGCTAAACAGAAACAGACTCACAAGCCACAGCTCAATTAGAGATCCTAAAACGATCAAAATAAAGAGGGACTGAGGCAGTTGGATGTTACGAGGAAAAACAAGCCGTACACGCCGATAAGCGCAGCTGAGGTTATACATCGCACATAGCTCCTGTTGATGACATAACCCTACGACGTAGAGAAAGGACTCTGCAAAGTTTGACGTTCTGCGCTTGCATCGCTTACCCTCTGCGCATTCCTATCTGGTGCGATGCAAAGCAGCCAGACAGTTTGGCTATCTGTGCAACATTTTATCAGCCAGAAGGTACGGCTGAATATAACGCTGTCACAGCGTTGCCACCTTCAAAGGTCTAGACGTTTCTTCCTTTTTTTAATTCTCCTCTCAGCAGTGACTAGCTTTCAAGCCTCCAAATCCAAGGATGACAGGAAACGTCAGAGGGAGAAAATGGAGCTATTATGCAATCTAATGAGAGATTTTGTGAAATAACAACACCGAAATTTCTGCTGCAAAACAAAATCAACAGGAAGATGTCACTGTTCATTGGGGAATGAAGCCACAAACAAATAAGGCTGCGCAGTGACTTTGGCAGCAGGACAGCTCTCTTCATCAGACCCAGTAGGAGATAAGAAGGTTAAAAGCTTTGGAAAATCCTCCAAAGACTAAGGTGGAACTTTTAAGCAATCAAAAAAAGAAAAGAGGTGAAAACCAAAGGTGTTTTGTAGCTGTATGCAAGAGAGCAACAGGAAAGTTGCAGCTTCTTCCTTGCCGAGGAAAGTCACGGTGCCATTCCCAATCCTGGCACGGACCACACCACGTCTTCTACCTGACTTTCAGCTCTGGCTCAGTAAACATTATCACCTGATTTGAACCGGAGGGGAAGAGGAAGGCATAAAAATAAGCCTCTGTGTTCCCAGACAATCCCCAAAGCCACATTTTACAGCTTTTCATTTTCCCACGACCAGAGGAAAACTCAGAAGTTCTCCTCAGAGCCTGCTTACGCCTGGCTGACAAGACTGGGAAGGCAAATCGACTTCTAACTCATTAAAAATGAAGCGCAGAGGCTCTCCTCAAGGCATAAGGTGGTCTAGGATCCCCGTAGCCAAACCTTTGCTCCAAACCCATGAAAGACTTCCCACGTTTCACCGGATCCCCTCCGCTCCCGCTCCTGTGGAGACAAGCCCGCTCACCGCAAAGCCTTCCCCACACACGCCCTTGCTGCGGGGAGAGGAGAGCCCTACCCCAAGGATTGAATCCTACAGGGACCCTGAAGCAGCCGGGCACCCAGTCAGCCCCCCAAAGCGGGCCGAGCACCCCACAGCGGGCCGGGCGCCCTGCCTGCCCCAGAGCAGGCCAGGCAGCCGGTTACCCCGGTCTGCCTGCCCC